ACACCGAAGTTAGTTATCCTGCAACTAGGCGATGCCTAGTTGCATGATAACTAACTTCGGTGTTACATAACACGCACAAAAGGAAACACGCTTACACGCAAAATGCTAGTAAGCTTCACACGCTTTTGCCTAGTGAGATTTGCCAGGAAAACTAACTTTTTAGTTACTTTACACGCATAATATTAGTACATTGACAGGTAGATATTAGTTAAGTAACACGGTCACACGCAAAAGGCGTGTAGGTCAACACCACGTCGAAAACTAATGTCTTAGTTTCATAACACGTTTTTTCTTAAAAGCGTGTTTTATAAAACACGTTTGGCCAGGAGATGCGTGTAAACTTTACACGCTTTAGGTTAGTGAGATTTGCCATGATAACACGGAAGTTAGTTAACATTTTTTACAGTGTGTGATGAGTGACAGCCGAAATCCTGCCGGAAACGACGTTTAACAGCTACGCACGATTTTGTTTCATACCATAAATGGATGATTTTTACTTTTTCTTCTGGTAAGAAAACCATTGTTGATAGAGAGGTAATTCTTTCTCCTACTCATTTGGCAGACTGTTGGCTTTCATATTTTTACAAAATATGTCTAGAGTTGAAATATTAAATACACAGAATGTGCCTGTTACACTTATTCTGGCCCACCCTGTATGTGTGCATTTCTTCGTTTGGTGACAAAACAGCGTGCCTAATTCAGCCCGAGTAATAACTCCACAATTCAGCCTGGAAGCGGTGCAGGGTCATCACAGCTTCCACCGACAGAGCCGGCGATTATGCCCAGGGAATTCACACCAGTCCCCGAAAACGATATTTAAAATGTTTTTCTTACCCTGGAGGGCAGCGAGTAATAGTACACCTTTCGTAAGCTTTATGTAACTACAAGAATAAAAACAAATCACATCTCTATTCTCTACTCAGACCAACCATTTGGTATTTGACTACAGATACCATATCGTTAGCATTGCGTTCACAATCAACTTTCAAACCAAATTGAATTTCTGACGTTTGCATTGGACAGAATGAATTAAGCTGCGGCGGTGGTTCAATCCTTCAATCCTTCAATCGCTTTACCTCTTTATCCCTCATCTTCATTATTCCCTGACACGTCTTCTGTCACTTACCTCTCCCTCTCCCTTCCCATTCCCCTCTCCCTGACAACTATAAAAGGTTCGGCAGCAGAATCTAACCCAGCAAGCAGTTGTTTGTGAGAAAGAAAATAAACTTCAGCGAAAATCGGACATAAGGCGCCGTAACAGTCACTGAAGATCAGGCGCAATAGGGTAAATATCACATTGAATGGATTTATGCAGTGCTTACTGCTTGACTAAATGCGCGAAGGTCCTGAGACAAGTCGCTTGATGAAGCGTTAAAACCTATATATTTTTCATGCGCCCGTTGAGCGATCATTACCTATTATTTAAATCAATTTAGCCAATTATCTAGCGCATGCATCAACATACTATGGGGCAGGCATTATCTGCTACTCGGCAAAGTAAGCCCACTTCGTTGACATATTAATCCAGCTACTTTGTTCGAGAACAGTAACAGCTCGTTAATCATTTGGCTACCTTAAACATTGGTTTAATTTCAATTTTGGTACCGTTTTCAATATTCAGCTTCCATATTGTAACCATGCAAAGTGTATGCCGAGCCCAATACAGAAATGGTTTGCGCTCTGCTTGCATTGTAGCGCGCCTTATCCAAGTGTCTTCCCTCGTTAAAACGCTGCTTTGTTTTATGACAAAGACATTTTTTCCGCATCATAACTGCATAATAGCAAAACTGGGATATTGCAGCCACCTGACATTGCCTACCTATTCAGATAACAATACATCTAATTAGGTACTCTGATTAGCAAAATGACCTTCCGCCGCCTTTCATCATTTCTTATTGCTAACAAGTGACCCGCGGTTCATCTTTGTATGACGTTCTTCATTTGCCGTGCGGACTTGCCATGGATTAACCCTGCGCAACAACTTTGGAGTCGCTGAGAACCGACGTCTTGGGAGCCGAAACTGAGCCGAAACTGGTGTCCTTCGACATACTTCCTCACAGTATATAGAAGAGTTTGTATACTGAAGCACAGGATGGCAGCAGCCAGCAACAATTGACGGAAACACGACAAACCTTGATGCTAGCTAAGCTAGGTAGGGGAGAGTGGGGCAAAGCGGCCACCCTAACGTTTCTAACGATGCCGACGCTTGATTTTTAAACTTGGAAAGATTCTTTCTATACCAATGTGATCCCTATTAAATTGTCTTTTATTCCAACTGCGTTTCATTTCCAAAGGCGTTCACATATGGGAGATATTGACAACACTTTAAACCTATAGCATATTGGCCACTTTACCCCATCCCTGAGGCAAAGCGGCCACTGGCGACTTCTCAAGTCCCGATATGAGAAACAGAATAGTTGCCTCATGCACGACTAGGGTAGGGGAGAGTGGGGTAATTTGGCCGGTGGTGTAAATTGGCCGCCCCCACCTGTACGATGTCTTATAAAAGTGAGTGAAATAACTCTAGTCTCTATTCGTTTGTCATGGGTAGAAATAACTGGAGGACAAATGTCAAAACTTCGCCCCTCGTAGTTTTATTCAAAATTAATAAAACGTTAATTTCATTAGAAAATGGTAACTTTTACTTCTGTTTACAAAGTTGTATAACATGTAGTATTTGGGCTAAAAACGAATTCAGACATTATAGCGCCATTCTTGGGGGTGTTCAACGGTTCCAAGAGCAATTTCATCTAATTTCGTATAGCCGTGATGACTTTATACACAAAATTTTTCAGAATGGCAATATGGGGTAATTTGGCCGGGACTAGCGGGGTAACTTGGCCGGTGCGCTCATGGTCACTATGCTGGGACGGCCGAGTTTTCATGGTCAATTGTACCATAAATGACATGATTCATGACCAACTTTGACTACTTTGATGCCTTACTTCCGATTGGTCAACTGTAAGAGCATGTGACGTCATCAAAGCTTACCAAACGTTTTTTGCTAATAACTCCTTACATAAAAATGGTGCAGCCGCACAAATGGTCTCATTCTGTTCAGCTCACCAAGCCGCATCGAATGATATGCATGATGACCTTGAAATCACGTGACCTTGAGGTCAAGCGACCTGAGGTAACCTGACCTGAGGTCAACCTTTGACCTCGACTTCTTGAGGTCAACACATATATGTTTCGATGCGGAATGACGAGAGAATTACGATGGTACTCGAAGTTTTGGCCTAGCTTGATTACTTCAAAAGTTACTCGTAAAAAACTGTCTACGCATCTAGAGCCGCTAATTTGGCTATTTTGACCCCTGTGACCCCATGAGTCAACCTCCAAAATGTGGTAAATGCGTCATAGGACACACGTCATTGCTGAATCTGAAGCTGACTCGCAATATAACAGAAAATCCCGACCGCAAACTAACACCGGCCAAATTGCCCCACACCCCCGGCCAAATAACCCTGCTAGTGGGGCAATTTGGCCGCCTTGCAGACCTTTGTAATACGTCACAATTTCAATATAAGTAATTACTCTATCATTTCAAGTTCACTGTCCAGTAAAGTAAAATGAATGCGACACCTGCCAGCGTTGAGAAAATGCAGAAATGTGTCGTCAATTTTAAGTTACATCGTTTTCTAAAAAAAAGCGGCCAAATTACCCCACTCTCCCCTATTTGATGGTGACAAGGTTTAAGGGAAGATGGATGTTTACTTTGTTATCTTCCCACCTATTGCTAAACAAAGAAAGAATTTTCTTGGAAAAACATTTAATTGCATAATTTGGTAACTCATGTATCCGAAGAGTGGCCAAGATGAATGCATGACGACACATTTGAATATAAATAATGTTTTTATCCAGATGGAAACAACTTATGGCCAATTGGGGGCTGGCCACTTTGCCCCGGCCGCTTTGCCCCGCGCATACCGTCCGAGACAAAAATATTCCAGCTCAGCTATTAGTGGGGTAAAAAGCATTAAAATTGGTAGAAGGCATGTACGATAACCACGCAATGCATGGACAAAAACGCTTATAAAAATTCAAAACGGTTATGGAATAAAATAACATTTGAAAATTGTAAACATAATTGGTACCCTGGCAAGAAATGCTTTTCCGTGTTTCACAGAACAATGGCGATGGGTCTGAAACCCCGGTCTGGCTCATTCGAACGACCGCAAAGAGAGGTATAATTGGAAATCATAAATTGGAACTGACGCCAGCTGTGGAGGGTTAAAACGATGGATGGCCGCTTTGCCCCGGGTGGCCGCTTTGCCCCACTCTCCCCTACCTAAATATCTACATCTGAAACACGAGACACATAAATTCACGGCACTGCTGTATATACCTGTAGGTGGCAAGCGGTGCATTTTTAAACATGGCCCTGCTAAGTCACGGGCTGCCTATCATGCAGGTTGCATGTTTTCTTTTTTCGCCCGGGCACGCTATATTTGGACAAAAACATGCATCGCGCTTGTAAACATATACGCCCGACCGACATCCTATGCCTAGGTTTTATCTTCATGTCTAAAGCAAGTAGTGGGACGCACCCGGGAGCGGCCTTATGCGGGATGCACCTCGTCCAAAAATAGACAGCTTCTGTTTACCGGTCTTTGTGATCACAGCAAGCATTGTTTATGGCACACGACCGGTTTATTTACGTTCTTCAGTTCAGGCCAACCTTGTCCAGGAGCCCATCCTATGGGTGTGATGTCATTACTCGCTAATGTTACCTCATTTCTATGCTCTTAACTAATATTTTTCATGAAAAGCCAATATAAAAACATTGAAGAACAATTCACAATTAGTATATGTCATCTATGTATATCAAACAGTAAACACATAGCGCAAGTGACGAATGTTTTTCGGATGTGCGCATTGCTTCACGTAAGGTTCACGTTAAGCCTATAAGCTCAGCCATTTCAATACAAAACAGATCAAAGTTATTGTGCGGATTGCGGAATGCCTCTGACAGAGGCTCTCCCGCCGTAGGGACTCACCTCCAGGTCCTTCTCAGCGGTATTGTTGGCGTTCCTGGAACAGAGAACCCTTGTGTCACAAAAATATAATGCGTGTAACATAAGTACTCCGGCGAGAGCTACATGACCCCGTGCGACATATGGGTGAGAGGCGCCGTCTGGTGTTTCAATTGGCCGCATTGCGGAGCTGAAACACCGCGCTCAGGTTGCGGATTGAGTTTCATATGCATTACATATTGCGATACGCGTATGCCTTCACTGAAGCTGTGTTTATCCCGCAAGGCCAATAGTTAAATGGTTTGAGATTTGACTGCCGTCTCATCTTAAGTTGCTGAAAAAGAATGGCTTGAATATACGGCTAAATGATTTATAAATTACATGGGATAGGTATAACCACTAAGCAGTCAGCTGCATTTCTCCCAGGCTTCTGTTACCTTGATTACACGGACTTGACACCATATATGGTGATTTACCTGCACCGACTTCCAATGCAAACCGGTATGATGTAACCAGAGCCACGACATGAGCTGAATGTAGACACGCCAATAAATGTCATCACAAATCCTGCACCTCCATTACTAATCCGAGGTTGAATAATGCTACCGGACGTCTCCTTGAAATGTTCCTCGTCGGCACGGAATAAATTCAAATAAACCATGTCCACGTGCCCACTGCCCATGCGATTAACGAGTCAGGATGTATTACAACACAAATCTCAGCGGTCATCCAGCATCTGTATGGCTGACCAGATCAGTCGACATTAATCTGTCAAATCGCCGGCGATCGGTGGTCGGTCATTGGAATACGATACCCGCGCCGACCGCTGCGTTCCATGCATATTCTCCTGGTCTGGGGTGTTTGAGCCGTGGGAGGCGGGGTCGCTCGTGCCAGGTGGGCTCCATCACATTTGAATTTGAGCTTCTCCGGCTCGCTATGGGCGGGGCTGGCAGGAGCTGCTCGTCCGACTAAGAACGCATGGTCATTGGTCAAGTCTCTAGACATGGACTGAGGAGCGATTGAAGCCGTTTTAGAAACGACTGAATAAAAATCAAAACTAACGCGTTCGTGACGTCTTCCGACTTCGCCACGCCACATTGTATTTAAAACTGTGAGCGACAAACCCAGCAGCTCCCCCGGCCATATACGAACCACGATCCGTGATAAATGGATCTAGCCCAGGACCGAGGGCGTTTACATATTGTGCCGCTTTTTACCAACCCGTCGGCCAGCTTTGGGCTTCGCATGAGTCGCGATCGGAGATCCAGGAAGGCCAGACTCGGAGGAAATTTTTCATGCTGTCCACGTAGATTTATGGATCTATTATCCCACAGCCGTGTGACTAGCATGAGTCGACCTTATGGCGAGAGCTGAGTGAGTGTTGGGCTCGCCCGGAGTTCGGCGACAACCACGCCAATCTCCATCCCGTATATTTAAAAACTTTTTTATCGGACAATGATAACTCTAACATAATATATGCTGACTCTTAGATCTCCTTTGCTTTTGACCAGTGGCTGCCTTCGCATTTGTTACCGTACTCACTATTGGGAAAACATCTCGCAACACATGCCAAATTAATGATAGCTCTTCTAGGGCATCGGCTGACTTTGCATATTAATTAGACTACAGAGGCACGTCTCCAAATCTAATCTCGGCAACTAGCCGGATTTACAGTACTCAAAGTCCATTTCAGAAAGTTAGTTCTGGATGAGAGCGGGGTAAACAATGAAGTCAAACAGTTGAAGCATTTCATTCGTAACGGAGAGCTGAAAAGTTAATTCCTGCTGCGTCTTGCCTTATTTATCCCTGCCATTTGTAAACTATCATTGCTATTTTAGTAGGCACGTCTCGTCAGCCCGTTTTATCACAGCAGAAGACTCTCCCCAAGTCCTCACATCACGTCATTTCTATCCTCACGTCAGCCACCGCTCTGAGTCGGCGTCAGACTGACGTTGCACCTGTGCAGCCGCCCATCAATGCCGAGACACGCGTGTGCAGCTGCCTGCAGGAGAGTTTTTGTCGGATACACGCGCCAGCATTGACTCGGCACAGAGCAAGTGTTCCCGGGTTCAGGTGTTGCTGTGATGTCAGATGTGTCAATCCGCCTACGTATGTACTATACACCATTTGGCGTAAGCTCGGGACAATGACGATGATGACAAGATGTGCTGAAGGAGAAAGTTCGGTAGCAGATGTTCAAGTGCGGTGCGGTGCGAATCAATGCGCATGGATGCGGCTGAATGGAGGAAAAAGTGAATTGCAACTGGGAGGCCTTACCAGCATTGATTTCAGCTAATGACGACTTTTGTTCATGACTGGGTCGTTAATTAGCATAGAGATTATTTTGACAGTATTAGACGTATGCCCATTCAACAACCTTCTAGTCCTGATATACATACGCCTACGAAATTTCACCGCGTAAACATGAGCAAATATGGTAAAGCTAAAGAACGATAGTTCCTCGGAATAGTATTGATTTCACCCGTCCACTGAAGGGTAAAAAAGCGCATTAAAAACTAGACGTTGCGCTGTCAGACGCTATTTCGTTTTTGGCGGTGACCAAATAAGTCACTAGAACACGTTCCCTGCCATATTTGGAGTCAACGGCCAAGCAGCCATCCTCCCGTTCAACTGCACCTTCTACCAATACTTTTATCGACCCGAGCATTTTCTATCGTATAAGGCCTTTCTTCGGCGATATATGGTAGCAACATTCATATATCTCAAGAGAAAATGTGACAGAAATTGTGTAAAATGTCTAGACTCCAGGTGAAGCCCCCTTGGAGCTATTCTAAATGAAACAGCTGATACATTCCCTTGGAATATTTAATGTTAAGCTTTTGTGTGACGGATCTGTGGCATGCTTTAGACTTAACTGAGCATTTTATTTGCGTGATGTCTATTTATAGATTATTAAAATGAGTAACATCGAGTATCGAACTCGACTCACCTTCTCAACTAGAGGGCAGAGATCAGACATTCTGAGGTGCAGTTCCTCATTTTCAGTATCAAATTGCAGTGGCACGTGTCCGACGGAGAAGGCTGAGAGAGAGAGAGAGAGAGAGAGAGAGAGAGAGAGAGAGAGAGAGAGAGAGAGAGAGAGAGAGAGAGAGAGAGAGACGAGCTCAATTTTGCGAATCTCTGCAGTCGTCACCGCTTTTGTACAAAGCTAATTAGCATGCACCGCTATGGTCTGCGACCGCCGACGGTTACCGGGGATTAGGGAAAACGGCACGAACCTCGTGTCTGCCGCCGTGCCCGCCTCCAAGCCGCCACAGACCCGCGCAATTGCACAGCAGGCGAGTCGCCACTGTGCCGTCCCGGCTCGCACTCACGGCTCAATGCCGCTCGTGACAGCTGAGCTATGTGAGGCGCCAGCAAATAACGAAGTACGGAGCTGTAGTTTGCTGCGGAAGCATTCCTTGTGACTGTCTTGTTACCGCACAGAGCTGCGATCTTTGTGATGTTTGTTGCACTTATCAGATAGCGTAGGAGAGGCAGCCAGGCTCTCCAAACGCTAATTGCACACCTTGACGATAAATAACACGAACTCATTTGGCCGGGTACGTGTCAGTTCGTGTCCGCCTGGCCAAGCAATTCAGCCAGCACGAGCATGACTAATAGTGATATTAGGTTGTCCATATCTGATCTGCAGAGAGCGTTTATGGCACGCTCTGGCATGATCAGACCCGCCTTAGCTCGCGATGAGCCGATGCCAGTCTTTCGGCTACGCCTTACACATGTCAAGGCGGAGCTCTTTGAGCGGCATTTACGAGAGCTCCCGGATTGAAGCAGCCGATTCAGACGATGTGGATGCAGCCTGATACAGGTCAATCAGGAGAATTTATCGTCCAGATGTTCTGCTATCGCCCTGTCCATACCCGGGGCAGCGGAAAGCATTGCAAGCGTGGGTGAAATAAAATAGTGCCTACGTTCTAAGAGAGCTTTGGTGCAAGCATTTCTTAGCATACGTAATCGTATATGATGAATAGTTTGTCAGTATGGCTCCTAGCAAATCTAAAAAACAGTTAGATGCATCCATAGATAAAGATAAACTTATTTATTTCAGTTGAAAAAGAAACTCATCATTCACTGTTCTTTACAAAAAGCATCTTATTTCTATCCCGAGCACGTCTGACCCTAACCTCGACTAATGGATTATGTAGTGGCCCATGAATTTCAAAAGATAAGAAAATAAATATATATGGTCTTGGCTGGTCTTCCTATTCTCTTCCCGCATCCTCGATGTATCCTTTTATATCGGCCTTTCTGTGAAGGAAAGACCTTGATTTATAAACGCGTCACATATAAAATTCTTCCGCACCTATTGCAATCGTCCGTCCATGCTGAAAACATTCAGAACCGGACAGCAGCCAATACGGCGGCCTTGACGCTACCACAATATACCACGTCCTGGGACGCCGACTTCTGTCTCCATAATCTAATCGACAGTCTCTCCTTGAGAAGCTGTCATGATATGAAACGCCACTTGACCGATAGTTAAATACCTCAAACTCACAGAAGTTCTCTCTCCATGCCTTCGTAAGATATCTCACCATCTTGTCAAGAAGATGGCAGGCTCGGTTACCGTGAATGAGAATTATGTTCACAACCAACATGTTGCAATCGTATCACCGCATGATTGTCATCACAACACACGGGCATCGTACGGTCACAACAGCCCAGCGAGTGGCCAAAGAGCACGAGCATCGATGTGTTGACAGAATCTGCAAGTCGCACTCTATAGAGCAGCAGATAATTAAAAATGTGCATTGTGCCGGCGTGATTTTAAGGACTCGCGGTATACACATAGGTACTGTGCTGGCGGTGCACTTTTTGTTGTGTTGTGGAGATGGTGGTTTACATCATGTCGTGATTATAGATGAGGAGATATAACCACATCGAGACGATGAATGCTTTTAGTCCATAAGCAAAACATATGTGATTATGGACCGGGTTAATGCGACTAAAATGTACAGCTCGCGTAGTTTAATTCATTGCAGATTGATATGTTTAACGGTTTCGTGGCCGTTAAAGGATTCAAACCCATTTTTTAATCTAAGCCAGTTTTGGGAATCCTTCCTTTTACAAACATCACTACATCTGCGATGCATGAAATATGGATATCACAAGAGATTGACCGTTATAAAGAAAAAATACGATGGCATGATTGGAGTGCATACTGGAGATGAAGAGATGGTGGGTGAAAAAAAAGACGCCCTCACTGTTCTCCCGGGGATCAGCGAAGCAGCGGCAACGAATACTTGACGTTAAGAGATGCAGATACCAGTCTCGTGCTGAATCACATTTAACATTTAACTGGTCACCGAAATGTCTATCATTGCGTTTGAGTTTAGGTATACGTTCATACGCTCAAGCAACTATCTATTACCGGTAATGATACGACTGCTAAAGAAATTAGCCATCCATTAGCTGACTCGGAGTCACCGCCATTAACCGTGTAAGCCTTCCATCGCCGCGTCATCCCTGCCCGGCCCGTACCTGTCGGAGACATAGCACTTGTTGGTCACCCTCTCCACCACCTGGTACAGGTGCACCAGCTTCTCCGCCGCCTCTGTCGCACTGGGGCCGTCCGATGACGCCGTCAGTCTCACCAGGTCACGGGCGTCATCGCCGTCATCACCCCCTCCCGGCAGGAGGGAGGTCGGCCCGTCGGTATCATCACCGCACGGGGTCACACATTCAGCGACCTCCGAGAGAGAGCGACGCAAAGAGGAGGAGCGCGGCGGTACCGGGCCGGACAGACCCACCGGCCACACCTCCGAGATGGAGCGGCGCATCGCAGCCGCTGCAGTGGTCACTGGTGATATCCGTGACCTGTCAGTGACTTCCCTCGGGGACGGGGTGATCGGTGTCCTGGGAGAGTTTCACCTCACATTCGAGTTCGACCGTCTGCGGTGACTTTCGGCTTGGTTGATGATTTATCGCCGAAAGCTGATTGACAAGGGTTTGATACTGATATTGGTGAGCTGCCACCGCGTAAACTAGCGGTTGAAGCTTTGTCAGACTCGACTCAGATTTCAGAACTTTTCACTGTTCTGCTGACAGCCGTCGTTTCACGGGTGGCACTGATGCAGAGGCCACAGTCACTATCCCTCATGTAGATGACTGTCAGGCTGACCGTCGTATTTCGGAATAGCCAGCACACTGTAGCCTTTCCCCAGTATCACAGCACAACACAGTTGACCCCACACACACTGTTCACGGTTGACCTCACACTGCTCACAGCTCGCAGCCACTCCGGCACCGGTCTCACTATTTCTGACTCGCCGAGCTCACCGTCTCACCCATCACCTGCTCACCCCTCTCACTGTAGCCACACCGCACCTCGCTCACGGGGCCGTCGAGCGGAGCCCGCATGGCTTCCCACCGCCGTCGACACGCCAGTCTGCCGCACGAGCCTCGCGTGGCCCGCCTCCGTGCACCCCGCCCCCCGCTCAGGTGGGAGGTGCAGCTAGCGCCGCCACGCGGCAGACAACTGAAACTCCCGGCCGGCTGAGCTGCGGCCTGCGCCCGCGAGCTCTCACGACACTTCGGCGGTGGGAGCGGCGAACCTCGACTGGCACAGCGGGGGGTCGGCGAGGCGCGTGTCAGAGAAGGTGTGAGCGTGTCGACTGCTCGGCGGGAGCTCGGCGGGCTCTCAGACAGGGTGGATGTCTCACTCGCCGGCGCAGAGAAGGCGAGTAACCGAACACTGCACTGCGGTCACCGCTGCGGACTCCGGAGCCGAGCCAGTCACCGGATTAGTGCCGGTTATGGAGAGATGAGGTGGCCGCACCACGGGACACCCCTGGTCCATAATGAGACCCTGTCGGCGGATTAGCACCTCGTGGTAATCCGACACGAGGTGGTAATCCGACACTGGTGCGGGCCGCAGGTAATTTATGGCCGCTAATACCCAGACTGCTCACAGGAGAGGGAACACCCGCGGAGAGCACTTGAGCTGAGACGCGGCTAATGCGGCGCTGAGCTGGACCGCAGGTGGGGTCCGGCCGTCAGTGACGGTCACGTATACCGAGCGGCGACCTCTGCTCTCACTGTCGGTCGGTCGGTCGGCGCAGGCCTCAGGGCTCAGCTGAGGTCAGCGAACAGATTGGACACATGAGAGGGCTGACAGCCAGACGACGGACAAAGGAGAGACTCAGTAATACAAACCACATGTTGCCGGTAACATTAGAAGGAGGTATGGGTCAGTGGACGCATCGAGGGTGTCAGCGAAAATAATAAAGTAATATTGAACGATAAAAACCCAAGTCACAGCAGAGTCCCTGGAAAAGCCAGCTGGCTCAGCTGGGACACACTGGGGATGAGTGGATGCATCAGAGGCCAGCAGACGCCAGAAATGTCGACCAGAAGCCTGACAAACACACTACGGGGGCCAGTGAACACAGAGTGAGCTTCACAGGCTTCATCAGACACTCCCAGCCGCTGCACTGGCCGTGGCGGACTGCGTCACTCCACCCTACCCTGTGTCTGGTCGTGTGGGCCGCGTGGGTCGCGTGGTTCGCGCCGGTCGCGTGGGCGTCGGACAGGTCGGCCGACACGAGGCGTGCCGGCAGTAAAGCGGAATACGGCGTGCCAACCGACCCATCCCACCCCGCGGCCCCGTGAGCGCTGAGAGAGCTCCGTGACCCCGAGCGTCGGCGGGCCTGCAGTGGGGCTGATGTGAGCTTGGCTGACCTGACCGGTTGAGCAGACTGAACAGGGTTGACTTGAAGCGGCAGGACACAAAATTGATAGAGCTAGATAGACAGAACTTGGCCTGACCTGAGCCGAATTTGACCCAGAATGGCCTGATACATTGGGCAGATCAGTAACCTCAATCGGCCTTATCCAGCCCTAACTGTGTGACCAACCAAGGCTAAACTGTCGTGACCCTCTGAGCCGACCTGCAGACCACTGAATATTTAGTATATAATTACCTGAAAATCTCTTGTCCCTTTATCTATCAGGCTGATTTTCTGGAACTGCTTGTCTGATCTATTATCGATGGCGGATGTGATCAAGCTTCAGCGTTTCAGTGGTAATCTGATATGGCTAAAATTTGTGTCCAAAGCTCAGATCTATTTCGCTATTGATCGTCTCTGTATTCATCCGGAAGCGAAACGTAACACTGAAACTGATTGGCCTGGCTGGAAAAGTGCCAATTGGGAAGCGAGCGAACCTGAAAACCTCAGTTCTACGAAACTGGCGCCAACAGTGGCACCGCAAAACCGCGCTGTTCAAACCAGCTGCCCCGGGGTGACCTGTCGACCCGTATGACCTGGAAAAGTGGAGGTCATAGTTCTCGGCGGAGCGCGTCTCTCGCAGTTCAACTGGCTTCAGACAGTGTTGTGCACGTCATTTGACGCTCGTAAGCATTCTCCCACACTGCACACTTTTTGTATCGAGAAAACTGGCGAAAACCTAGAGGGACGATAACCAGTCCAAAAGACCGGGCCAAAATATTAGGATGCTTATCGTACAGCTGAGCTGTCATGTTATTCAAGGAAGGGTCACCGCGCTGGGTCTCTGAAGCCATCCAACGTCTGATGTGCCAGCTATCCTTTTGGGTCTTCTCGTCGCTGCTATATTCAGCCTGAATGCTCGTATCCGCTACAGGATTTGTATTTATGTAAGGCAGCGCAGCTTAATGAGGTTTGTATAGCAAACTCTGACCTCAGTTCTTTCCGATAGATTCAAAACCTAATTGGGCAATGAGTCTCACTGCAGGTCGCACAAAAAAGGCTCGCTTTGAGCTCAGCGATCTACATGTAACTGTTCCAAGTAACCCACTGAGTCGAGCAATTGGTACAAACAGTACCGATTAACGACTCCGCTGGTATCTTACAAATAAGCTGTGTTTGATCGTGGGCTAGTTATCGAATCGGCATTTTCTGGGATTCTATATAAGCATCTGTCAACCGACAGCGAATAATGACCCGCAGCAAGCACCCGTACGATAAGGTTTCGATGGAGACCATTGGACATTGGTACTTGGTAGGATGCCATCGGGCAAAGGACGATACCCTGAAATATGCAAGTTGATTAATTATATACTTGTGACGTATTACTAGCACCAAAATATGCTGCCGCCTGTCATGACAATCATTAAAAAACAACAGGAGTTGGATTCATTACACGACAACTCATGCTCCGTGGTTAGCAGCAGACTAGACTGATGCATTAAAAAACATTACTTGATTGATGTAATAAACCAGCTAATTCAGCGTGGTCTGATTAATCATGCAACCGACTGAGTGATGATGCCGAACCGAACCTCAGCGGGCTAAAGGATATCGTATATTCACAAGACGAACGAATGGGAGGATAAATCAGTGGTGAGTTTCGTAGGAGCTTCTCCTGCTGTGAATGATATAAGGAAGGTTGTCTCCGTAAATCATTTGAGATGTCCATCGCATAACTAGGTTCTCATTGAACTCGTCGAAGCATAATGATGTGAATCGCAGCCTGCTCGTTCTAAATGTTAAGTGTAAATTCAGAATTAAGTTCCGTAAACATGCTTCCGGTTTATCAGCTCGAAGCTTCCGGGTTCAAGCACGCTTACGTTTGTGTGCCTAAATACAATATCTATACAGTTTCACATGGCGGCTATGTTTACATCTTCCCATGTCACCGCATTTCACCAACACTGACAACCAAAACGATTCTCTATTCCCTTTGATCATGGTGTGTCATGCTCCTATAACTCTGCCGTTTTCCTGGCGGAATGCCCTTAAGATACTCAAATGATTCCTCAAATGATTCCTTTTAAGCATATCAGGGGTTTTGGTCTAAAACAACACCCTGATCATTTTCTTCGAATATACCCAAACTATACCCTCATTCTTTAAATACCTCCCTTGAATTCTTCTAATATACCCTAGTGTACAGTCTCTGCCGCTACTGTCAGATACCGTACCTGTGCCGCTCGGCGCCTCCGGCGGTGACCGGTCGGCGGGCCGGGACTGGCCGGCCGGGCGGGCGAGGAGGACGGGCAGTCGCTCCCTGGACGTGTTGCTGACCACTAACCCGCGCCCCGCTGGGCTATTCAGCCATACGCGCCCTGCTGGGGATAGAACCTTAACCCTCGTTTTGGATGTGTTACGACATATAAAGGGAAATCGGACGAGGGAGCTGAGAGCAATGAGACAGTTTCTGAGCAAGTTCTACGACGAATATACCTAGGGCATTATTATTTTCCCTTCTGGGTTTATGTGGGGTCTAATGCAAGAATACATTGAGATCAGTGATGGAAATCACAGAATAATACGGGAGTGTTACGTGGTATAATGCGAGTATAGTTTGCAAAATATTCCCCTTATACGCTTAGAAGGAATACTAGAGGTTTCGATGTAAGGGTATTTTGGTAGGTTAAAAGGAGTGTACTGTGGGTATCGCAGGGAATAGAACAGGAATCATATTCCTTTCCTCTTCGGTACTTACTAGGGTATATTAGAAGAATTCAAGGGAGCTATTTAAAGAACAAGGGTATAGTTTGGGTATATTCGAAGAAATGATCAGGGTGTTGTTTTAGACCAAAACCCCTAATATGCTCAAAAGGAATCAAAAAGGTTCTCAGTGTAGGGTATATTAGAAGAATTTCAGAGTGATATTCAAAGAAAGTGTATTTGGGGTATATTCGGAGAAATGATCAGGGTGTTGTTTTAGACCAATTCCCCTAATATGCTTAAAAGGAATCAAAACAGCTCTCAGTGAAGGTTGATTAAATAAACTCGGCACAAAATACCTGCGGATCATGAACAGCGCTACACTTCACAGCCGTGAGCGGTGGGGAAGTGGACTGGAGTTCGACCGAGTCGCCCGCGTATGTGTGAACTTCCCACCGTATAATCAGGGATAAACACCTCGGGCCGAGCCGCAGCGCTAACCGCCAACACGCGATACGGCCAGCCATCGTGAGATAATCCATCAGTTTCACGTCAAATGTGGTACATTTGGCGTGTCGTACATGATATCCTGAGCTTTATCCTGATTTAGCTAAATAAATATGTCATATCGTGTGCTCCAGATATAGTTATAAGGTAGGGATGATACATACTCATCACTCGTTTGGACACACTTGTTTTCCCACGACTAATGAGGCTTTTATTTGGTTGCTTTTTTGTTATCTTTGTAATATATTTGTTATCAATTGCACATTTAATATTTTCACAGCCGATATTGTGCCACAGGTTTTTCAGGGTAAGGATGTTTTAACTTGGCCTTTTTCTTGATTATCACGTCACTTTGTAATTAATTTGCACAGCTCATAACATCTCGCTATCACTGAAAACACTTTGAAAGAACGTTAAGAACGTACAGGGGCATTTAGACCCCTGTGGGGTAAAATGTTATGCCACCGTTTTTCAGAACCCCCATGGTTCTTCACGTAGACGGCTTTGCATTCTCATCAAAAGAATCCACACGATTCTTCCAAAAACTCTTATGAGGTTTAGGGTTTATAATAAGAGCGTTCTTAGCACCTAGATAAGAACCCCAAATGGTCTGTGAAGAAGTCCCTGAGGTTAATAGGAATAAAGGGTTAATAGTGTTCTGAATATCGGTTGTAGAACCCTTTCAGTTCTATTGCAATACCGCAAAATCCCCGTTCATTCGTCTATTGAACCTCCCATGCATGGCTATCGACCTGCGCCGTCACATCTGCTGCGCAAACACAGTACTTGATACATCTTAAAATGTATTGCCTTCCTCTTTTCTCTGAGCAATCATCCTGCAAGTCTCCAGTCAGGAACAACCAGCCCGCAACCAGCCCATGCGATCAGCCCGCAACCAGCCCGCATTCAGCCTGCGATCAGCCCGCAATCAGCCTGCAGGAACGCTTTCCCCTCGGCCGTGTCACTTGCCTTACACATCCAAGCCAAAGAACTCCAGAGCCTTTCGGGCATGTTTAATTACATATTCAGGTTGATTCCTTCACGCTCAGGGTTGCTTTCTGTACAAATATGAACACATTTTTAGCTTTAGCAAGTGGAAGTTTTTCCAAACACAGTACCTATGTATGCGCTATCGCCCATATCAGCAGCCGGGTGGCGATAT